ATGGTGGAGACGAATTGTTGAATAAAGTTGTTAATTTTGTTTTCTTTACATACAAAAAGTATTCTCGTAGCTTCGTAAAATTATGGTTGAACTACTGATCTATGACTAAACAAGATGGAGACAAAGTGGAGCAGAGAGTGTCAGTAGCACTGTTAGCATTACGTGATGAGAACTGTTTAGTGGGAGGAAGTGAGGATAAAACTACACTGCCCTACAAAGGCAAAAGACCTTAACTCGCTAGTGTGAAACTGAGATAAATGACTTTAAAGTTTTTTATTTGTCCAGCCAAATTAATTATAGCTAGGACACTGGAAATTTGGCAATTAGATGTTTTAGTAACAAAAATGATCTACAGTCAAAAATTATGAGCTCAAACTTGATTTTTACCCCTATTTTGAAGTTACTGTACTCTGCCTTTACATTGTCTGCAAAAAGTGAGAAGTCACACCAAGGCAAAAGGCAGTAACGTCCACATTATCAATATTTGGTTGCTGATCACCATTTACAAAATCGTTACAGTAACGCCTGTATAAAATCTAGTGATCATGGGCTGTCTCATAGGCTATTGCATATAGTAATGTGACTGTATTGTTTTTTTTACCATAACAAGCAGACTAAAAGTTAAACGTGAGTGGATACTGTTTTGCAACCAATTTATTTGCTATGCTCAGTAACGTAAAAGAATGCTAGACATAGCGTAATTGATTTTATATTGACTTGAAAGAAAATAGCCTAATGCCGGTTCAGACTACACGATTTTAGCCCGATTTTGCCACAATTTGCTTGACGACTTTAGCAATGTTTACATTTGTTTTCGGAAGTCAGTCGCTAGTTCTCGATGACATCACGCGCGTCGTTAAAGACAGCATGCGATGAATGGTCGGGAAGCAACGTATAGTCTGACATGTTTCTTGTCCACGACACGACAAGATTTTAGGAGTCAAAATCGTGTAATCTGACACAGTGACTATCGTGACCGACAAAAATATTGTGTAGTCTGAACCCGGCATAACCTAAAAGAACGACTTGTGGATTGATGTGAATGCTCAGAATGCTTGTGGATTAAACATCTCCAACGACGTTCATCGCCATGGATTGATTTTATTGGGTTACAAGAAAAGGTAGGATATGGATTTAATTGCGAACTGTTAGTACTGATTTTATGATTGAGCATGCTACACATTCGAGTCCACTCGCGTCCAACTAGAAGTGACAGCCTGGTGACTAATCTGCATTACAAAAAAGGAAAAAATACACAGTAAAAAAAAAAAGTTAAAGTTACTTTAGTTAGTTTAGTTATTTTATTTCTTTAGTTTTTTTTTTGTTTCAGTGCTTTTTATGTGCCATATAAAGTATGTGCATTATTATTATTATTTTATAAATACAAACTGCTCTTTCCCAGACTGGTTCTGTGAAAAACTCTGCCTAAACGCAGCATGTGTCAGAACGCTATCAACACTATCATATTACATAAAAAATTAAAATAATAGAAAATGTGTGTGTGGATATAAACCCTTTAAGTAACACTGAGATTATATATTTTTTTCTTGTCAATCCCACTGTTTGCATTTTAATAAATGGTTTCTACAACTAAACATTAAAGTTCTGTCTTTCAGACAGAATCTCACACTTTGTCATTTGTAGTTCTTAATATTTTCAACACATTATTGGAAAACATGCATTTAAATATGTATTTCACCAAGAAATCAACTCTGAACTCCTTTGGCATTTAAATTGGCATTTTTATAGACAGCCGTGTGATGACAAGACTTTTAGAGGCTGACAGGAGGCGGCCATTGCTGTGTGCGTGACTGTGCGCAGTGAGCTGAGTGTCTGGCGGAATCCAGTTTTTTGGCGGGGTAGCATCAACTGTGCTGAGACTGGAGAGGATGGATGCAGGTAGTATGGATAATGAAGATGATTCTTCAATAATTGATAGTGAGAGATGGTCTCAGGTACCAGATGCATCAAACAAACGAAAAAATTTAGAATCTGAGTCGGATGACAATATCACAGAGATGGGAGGAAATAACAAAACCAGGAAAATGGAGGTGGAATATAAAGTAATAGGAGCATTTTCCGGAAAAATCGAAAAAATCAACAATCCAATTAAATTTACGAAAATAATAAAGAAAGTACTAGGCAATGTTAACTCTGCAAGGTACTTATCAAACAATCGCGTCCTCATTTTTTGTGTAAATAGAAAGCAACAAGAGGATATACTTGACTATACAGTTCGCCCGTATATAAGACCAGCACTGAGATGTTTTAACTGCCAAATCCAAAATGTGTTGTCAGTTTTTTACAAAAAAAAAGGATCGCAGAAAATATTAAACTTTATTTACATAACCATTAGAAAGGGTAAAAAAATTTAAATATTTAGGTCTGTGGTTTGATTCTAAATTAACATGGAAAATCCATATTGACTACATTGAAAAGAAATGTAGTAAAGTACTAAATCTAATGAGATGTATAGTAGGCCAAGAATGGGGGGCAGATAAACAATCAATGATCACCTTATACTGGCCACTTCTACGATCTGTTTTAGATTATGGATTTGTATTATATAGGGATCTGCCTCAATCAGTATGCTTAGAAAGTTAGATCTTATTCAAGCACGAGCTTTGAGATGTATAACAGGTGCAATTAAAACAACTCCAATCTCAGCAATGCAAGTTGAAACAGTCCCGTCCCCATTAGAAATAAGACGTAAAAAATTATCTGTTGCTTACTGGATCAATTTACAAGGGCATAATTCAGATCATCCTACAAAATCAATATTAGAGGGGAGTTGGGAGACAATGAACTTAACAGGAACAGGGTTTGCATGGGAAGTAAAGGATTGGGCTGCAAAAATGTCACTAAATAATATTACATTTTCACCCAGTTACAATTTCCCCAATACCTCCTTGGTTTTTCAGTCAACCTAAAGTTGATTTTCAAATTCATGAATACATTCAAAGAGGACAGATTGACATTGATATCAAAACCCATTCAACAGAATATGTCAGAACAGTTTATTATGCATTTCTGCCAATATACACTGATGGCTCAAGAAACCCAGAAATAGGTCGTACTGGATCTGCATTCTATGTTCCAGAATTTAAAATTGGAAAATATGGAAGGTTAACGGATGGGACATCAGTATACACAGCCGAAATGGTGGCAATTCAAATGGCACTTAGTTGGGTAGAAGAAGTGATGCCAAATAAGGTAGTGATTTGTTCAGATTCAATGGCATCACTTACCAGTCTTCAAACTTTTCAAACTGTTAGATATGATATCTTTATAGAAATAATGAATCATAATATATACCTAGACTGAAATCACTTCACACTCCAGCTCAGGAGGTGGCGGTATGCACCTTAAAAGCTGGTATGCGACTCGCCAATAAATCCACAGAAGAAGAAGGAGACAAGACTTTTATTTTGGTGTAGTGCTATGACGTCATAAGGCTGCGCCTCCTGCATCTGTTGTGATTCGGCTGAAGAAAGGTTTGTGTTTTTAAGCATTTAAAGTGTTTAAATCGATGCAGCCAGTTCAGGCAAAAAAAAAAGGCTTAATTATTGATGAATTAAACATTGGGATACTTTATCTACCATTAATAAACGTTATTTTTATGAGTAAGCAGAGTAACAGGAAGGTGTATCTCTATATGCATTTCACACTATGCTAAACCATGGCTTAATATTTTAGCTAAAAAACTGGGTTTATCTGAACATGATAATGCATCTACTGCTTCAATTTCGACACTTTATTAAAGGGGTCATATGATGCTGCTAAAAAGAACATTATTTGGTGTATTTGGTGTAATGAAATGTGTTTATGCGGTTTAAGGTTAAAAAAACACATTATTTTCCACATACTGTACATTATTGTTTCTCCTCTATGCCCCGCCTTTCTGAAACGCGTCGATTTTTACAAAGCTCATCGTTCTGAAAAGCGAGGTGTGCTGTGATTGGCCAGCTATCCACATTCTCAGGTCGACATCATGCAAAACCCCGCCCCCTCTCTCCTGAACTAGTGAGACTCGTAGTTATTTTCCTTTGTTAAATGTACCGTGACTGAATATGGTTTTCAAAAGAAAACCAACCACTTCAGGTCGACTTTGCACAGGGCCATCATCTGCAGACTTATTTAAATATTCCGCGGGAACGACAGATCCGATCGGTTATCCAGATAGAGAAGTCAGCTGATGTTGCCAAGTGTAAACGCGCCGTGTCCTGATTGACTGACGATCCGATCTGATTGATTGGATCGCGGTGATCGCACGTTAATGCCAAGTGTAAACGCAGCCAAAGTCGGATGTGGAAACATTTGATTTTAAATGTTCCAACCTCAATGAGTAGTTCCAGTCAATCAACGGTCAAATACACGTTGACCACATGATGCCGCCATGACACAACGAGAGTGTTTCGTCTTTTTGTGTCAATTATTCCAAAAACATGAAAAAAAAAAAAAACCTAAGAAAATGTTTCTGTTCATTTTGAAAACGGTTGACAAAAAGATAAATGTAAGCAAAAATAAAACTTAAAAAACTAAGAAAATGTTTCTGTTCATTTTGAAAACGGTTGACAAAAAGTTAAATATAAGCAAAAATAAAACGTTATTAATGTTTTTAACTTTGACTTACATTAGGTCAACACTACAGTAACTATATGTCTCGCTGAGGTCGGGGTTGATCGATCTGCCCCGAGTTCACAGGTCGGATGTCTGACTTCAAGCACCGTTCTAGACATTATTTCCAAGTAGGAGTTGGGAAAAATCAGAATTTTGAGTTGTCAGGAATGCAGCATTAAAGTGAAACCTGCTGCAGTTGGTGTCATTGGGGTAAATCACTTATATATAATTATGACAATATAAACATATTAATATGTGATTAATCATGACTAATGGGTGAAAAATTTGTGATTAATTAGTACGTTTATATTTAAGTTTATATATGTATGTATGTCTATATACTGTATATGCTTACACGCATGTGCATCTCGTGCACAGAATGATGCGCTTGAAGCAACACGAAGTCACAACGCTCTGCATAGAAAAGTTGAAAGCACAAAGGGAAGAGATATTGATGTGTAGTGTTAGGGCTGCACGATTAATCGAATGCGATTGTCATGCGCATTTTGATAGTAAAGCCGGTTCTGTAATCAGCAGTAAATCATCATCATGTGCTTTCAGATGGAGCAGCATTTACTCAATAGCTCTCACCGCTATAGGCATTTCCTGGGTTTCTTCTGCGAGGCGTATTTGGAGTTTCAGCGCGAGAGCGCCCTCTGGCCTTTGGATGGAGATTTACTGCTGATCACAGAACCGTGCTTCACTGAGATACACATGACAATCGCAGCTTTTGTCGAATCGCGATTTCGATTCCATTCCGATTTATCGTGCAGCCCTATGTAGTGTATTGTATCCAGTGTTGGGAAGGTTATATAAATATAATAGGTTACAGATTACAAGTTACCATATTCAAAATGTAATAAGTAGTGTAACATTTGAAATTACTTTATTAATGTAACTGACTACTTTTTGATTACTTTTCAAAATTTCTAATGAATGTTTTCAACTGTTATTCATTTTCAAACATGTAAACCAGGCAGGATTAATCTTAAAGTAGCACTCAACACTGATTACTGTCAAGACTTTTAAAATCCTAAAATTTAACTTTAAATCAGTGTTACTCCCCAACACTAATTATAACTGTGAAATAATTTATTGAGCCTTTTCTTTTAAATTTCAGTTACTGTGCACATCAAGAACAATTCATCATAGTGCTGTCTACTCCAGTGTTGTGAACAAACAGACACCTAGTAGAAAGTAACATGATTTAGAAACGGCACTAAACTCCAGCAAGATATGAAATATTTTTATGCAAAACCACTGATCTTTATCTACAGATCAAGTATAATAATAGGAACAGTCATCTTAGACAGTTTCATCGTTTTGACTGTTGTAATTGAATGCAACACACAGTTTGAATGCTGAATGGAGGATGGCAGACAGCCGCAGTGGAGCGTTTACGTGAACTTGAATTTAGCAACTTAAATATTCATCTGTACTTCACATTAAACTAGGGACGGGCTTCAGAACACTTGGAAAAATTGATGGTGCTTTTACTTTGTGCCTTTTGTGGGGTTTAACAATAACACCGAATAGTTAACACACAATATTGGATTTGGATCGGTCTCGTCTGACCGATACCCGATCCGGCAGAAAAGGGCAGTATTGGATATGAATACTGAGTATGTGGAATGATGGACAACAGTGGAGCCAAAAGAAAATGGAGCCGATGAGTCAACAGACCAAGGTGGAGCCGAGGAATCTGAGCACCTAGGCTGAGCTCATGACTGGGAAGCTGCGTGTAGCCAGTGGAGGATAATGGGACTTTGGATGACTTCCCATGGCTGGGAAGCAGAAATCAGAAGGCTGGGTGGTACCAGCAGACATAAAAAAGCCATAAGGCTGCGCAAGACCAGTGGAGATGAAGGAACCTCGAAGGAGGTGGTCCATTCTAGAGTGTGTAGATTCATGAGTGCTAACTTCGTAACCACCAGACTTGAGACCACTGGATTTGTGAGCTCTGGGACCACAGACACTACCAGACTGGGATCAGTGGACTAAGGCCCAGGGGTTTTGGAAGGGCAGTAGTGGACTGTGGAGTCTCTGGGGAGACTGGATTGATAGAAGCAGGGTCCTTCTCTACTTCACCAACAATGAAAGTCTGTACCAGGGCCGTCCTTTGGACAGAGGCCCCCAAACCCTACCTCGCACCAAGGCCCCGTGTCAGCCGAGGATGGCCCTGCTCTGTACATTTGGTGCTTGCCCACTTTTAACCCTTTAACACATAATCACACTGGTATGATCACTCTAGGCTGGTCCCTCGAGCGTACGATCACACCGGTGTGATTAGAACATTCAGTGCATCACATGCTGAATTCAAATCTGCTTTCACGCTTTAGCTGGCGCGGAGCCAGATCGGATGCGCTGAGTGCTTGTCATATCACAACTATCCAGTGCTTTCAACCATATAATGCTTATTTTAAGTTCCAGACATTTAAATACACACAAAAAAAAAATCAATTTACAGTTTGTTCAAATACACACCGATATCTGTGGAAGTGGCAATAATGATCCTTACAAATATAATATAACGACATGTTTTATTGATATCATATACACATTGGGTAGGTAACTATAAAGTTTACTCTACTCTTCTCCCAGTTCACCGGAGACTTACTTTAATGTCTTTCGGGAGGAGAGGATGAATATACGTGTTGAAAAATCCCACAGCTCGGATTCAGTGCGAACTAACATGGCAGCACCCATCACCCGGTATAGATCAACTACCATGGTCATTATAAAAGTGTTTAAACTACCAAATACATTTACTTGCACATATTTGAGAATCGGAATATCAAATATTTCATAATAATAGTGAGTGCGTGTGTGAAAATTTATAATAAAAAAGGAAAAACTAAATAAAAGCGGTACATCTGTCATACAACGCTATTGTGACTACGGTGTGTCACATGACAAGCATAACACTTTGCCATGGAAACAATAAGGCGATACATTCTAAAATAATGGTCGCCTAGGCTGGGGGCTCAGATAAAATCATTTAAACTCACGTATGAAAGGGTTAATAAAGGAGAAGTTAAAATCATGAAATAAAAAAAGATAAAGAAGAAAAAAACACACGACATGATCAATAGTTCTGTACTTGTTTTTTTTTTGGTGAAACTTTGTGTGCTGCCATCTTGACCAGGTCTCCCTGGAAAAAGATTATGATATGTCAATGGGATCTTCATGGTTAAATAAAGGATATATAAAAATATAAAATCAACAACAAAAGTCATTGGTGATTATTTTCATCATCGATTATTACACAAAATCAGTAATAATCTGTACTAAATGACAGTTGTGCAGTTTTGTCACGAAATGTAAAAATGCATAATTGGCATAACATTGTGAGCCCTAATGGAAATGTCCCTCAAAGTCAGCATATACTAGGAGAAAAGCAGAGGAATTAATACTGAGCCCTGATGCACTCCATACTTGAGTTTGATGAAATGTCTATTTGTTTACATAAAGTATTAGCAGTCGGATAGATATAGGAAACCTAAACCGCGCTAGTGCTTATTGACATTAATGACAGATTCAGCACTGGTCTCTAACAGTGGTTTTCAATCCTGGTCCTGGGGACCCACCGCTCTGCACATTTTGTATGTTTCCCTGATCTGATACACTGAGTTGATGGAGCTCTCCCCTAATGAGCTGGTGATCTGAATCAGGTTTGTCAAATAAGGGAGACCAACAAAATGAGCAGAGAGGTGGGTCCCTAGGACCAGGAGTGACTAGTCTATTATAACCCAGTTTTGTTGGAAAATTTTGGTTTTGATGTTTTAATACTTTTATCTTGGTTTTAATCTCTGTTGGTTTTAGCCAATAATCTGCCATTAACTTGTATTTGTCTTTGTATTTGTCTTTTTTTTTTGCTTTAGAAAAGAAGGCACTAAAAGAAGAGAGGCAAGAACTTACAATGATAGAAGAGAAAGATCAATATGAGAGACATGATTTCATGAATGTGGAAATATCCATACAGTCTGAAACAACTTCATCACAAAAAGAAGTTCAGAAGACTGAATCTAACAGTTACTTCACCTGCCATCGAGAGAAGCCTTTTACCTGCAATCTGTGTGGAAAGACCTTCACAAATAAAGCACACCTTGATACCCACATGAAAAGTCACTCTGGAGAGAAACCTTTTACCTGCAAACTGTGTGGGAATAGCTTCACACGTAAAGGATCTCTTAAGATTCACATGGTCATTCACACTGGAGAGAAGCCGTTTCCATGTGATCAGTGTGGAAAGTGTTTCAGACATAAAGCAACCCTTGTTTCACACATGAAAACTCACACTGGAGAGAGAACTTGCACCTGCAAACTGTGTGGGAAGAGCTTCTCAAATAAATCAACCCTTAATGCCCACATGAGAAATCAAACAGGAGAGAGGCCCTTCACTTGCAAATTGTGTGGGAATAGCTTCTCACGCAAAGGATCTCTTAAGATTCACATGGTCGTTCACACTGGAGAGAAGCCGTTTCCATGTGATCAGTGTGGAAAATCTTTCAGACATAAAGCAACCCTTGTTTCACACATGAAAAGTCACACTGGAGAGAGTCCTTACACCTGCAAGCTGTGTGGGAAGAGCTTCTCAAATAAATCAACCCTTAATGCCCACATGAGAAATCACACAGGAGAGAGGCCCTTCACTTGCAAACTGTGTGGGAAGAGCTTCTCAAAAAAAGGTAATCTTAAGGCTCACATAATAACTCATACAGGAGAGAAGCCTTTCATGTGTGCTCAGTGTGGAAAATGTTTTACACGTGAAATAACCCTTACTTACCACATGAGGATTCACTCAAGAGAGAACTGTTTTAATTGTCATCAGTGTGGACAGAGATTCCCAGACAAGAGACACCTTAACTGGCATGAAAAAATTCATTCTCGATCTTCCACGTGCCATGACTGTGGAAAGAGTTTCAGATTTAAAGCAAACCTCAAGGTTCACATGAGAATCCACACTGGAGAGAAACCCTTCACCTGCACTCACTGTGGAAATAAGTTTAGTCAGAACATAAGCCTTCAGATTCACACGAGGCTTCACACTGGAGAGAAACCTTTTACCTGCAGTCTGTGTGGGAAGAGCTTCACACATAAAGCACAATTTAATTCCCACATGAGAAGTCACACTGGAGAGAAACCTTTTACCTGCAAATTGTGTGGGAATAGCTTCTCGCGCAAAAGATCTCTTAAGATTCACATGGTCGTTCACAATGGAGAGAAGCCGTTTCCATGTGATCAGTGTGGAAAGTGTTTCAGACATAAAGCAACCCTTGATTCACACATGAAAAGTCACCTGTAGTTAAACCTGCAAACTGTGTGGAAAGAGCTTCTCACAAAAAGGAAATCTTAAGGCTCACATGAAACTACATGTGAAACAACCCTTACTTACCACATGAGGCTTCACTCAAGAGAGAACTGTTTTATTTTTCATCAGTGTGGACAGATTTACAGACAAGAGACCTGGCATGAAAATATTCATTCTCGAGAGACATCTTTCACATGCACTCTTAATATAAATGGTTCTAAACCGTACCAGAAAAGGGTTCTTCAGCTTGTAACAATAGCAGAACCCTTTTTTTGGTGCTAAATAGAACCCTTTTTATATGGTTCCATAAAGAACCATGCTTTGAATGTTAAATATGATGTGATTTAATGTTTTCCTTTGGTTAAAGATTAAAGTCTCAAACCCAAAGAGATACTCTTTATAAAAGTTAAGACTCAGCCACGCCTTCCTAAAATGCCTCATTCAAACATGTCCCACAAATCTACATCACTGTGTGGGAAGATTTGCATAACATCGCCCAAATGTATACGCAAATAACGAAGGTGTAACTTTTATTCTCGCTGTAGTATTGTTGTCGCCGCCGCCATGTCCTGGAGATGCTGTGTGTTTCGTTGCGAAAGCGAAACTACTTTGTTTGGCCTTCCAAATGAGCACAACTAGAAATCAGTGGTTAAGTTGTATTTACAACACGACAGAGTGTGTGCAGTGCATTTTATGGAGGATTGTTTCCTGAACCTAGGAGAGTAGTCTACAATGGCGGCTGTGCACAAAGGGTTACCGTACGGGCCTTTGTTACGGGACGTGTCCTTGCCAGGATTTCTATATTGCCTAAAATATCCAGGTTTTGGCAGTTTGCACTGTGCAGATCGATCACTGTATGAGATTCACAAGAGCTATAGAGAGCAGAGCAGACGGTTCCTTGTGCTTTCGAAACGTTCTCGCTGTACTTTGGTGTCAATTCAATGATCGGTGTGCAGCGACGCTTCAAGTCAAACGAACGAACAAACACGTGCACGTATTTGCTTCGCTTTGATCGTTCTCTGTAGATCTCACCTTCTCACGCGCCCCGATTGGTCAATTATATACAATACCTGCATGTTATTGGTCAAACTACTTTGGATGTTTTAGGCAATATAAAAATCCTGGCCAGGACGTGTCCCGTATAAATGGCACATATGGCCACCTAGGCAATTCCAAAAAAATTTACACATTTCAGAAAGGCAGGGCAGAGAGGAGCAACAATAATATATAGTATGTGGAAAATAATGTGTTTTTTGAACCTTAAACCGCATAAATACATTGCAATTCACCAAATACACAAAATAATGTTCTTTTTTAGCAACATTATATGGCCCCTTTAATGGTATTATAAATAACCATTATTATGTAACAAGTCCATTATTATGTTTATTTTGATATGATTGAGTGGCAGTTTCTCTCTCAGGGTGTCCGCGGGTCCTTAAAAAGTCTTAAAATGTCTTAAATAACGTTTTCCTAATATAAGGCCTTAAAAAGTCTTAAAATGTCTTAAATTCGGATTCGATGGGTCTTAAATATTTTTGCTCACATTACCGCTAAAATATCTTCAGTCTGACGGACCTAATGACTTTACAATCATTGGACAGACCGAAGATTTTTTCTTCCCCGCGGTAAGTTACTGCGTCATCACAGAGAATTGCAGTAAGTTAGCAGAATACAGAATACAAGCTCGCGCTGCTGAGGCTCACTCTGTTTGTCTCGAGACTTCAGAACAAATGAGCGTGACAGCACACAAACTCAGAAGAAACACACTTAATAAAATGTGTATTTCCATTACAGGTTTAGGTCTTAAATTTCATATAAGGTGGTATTAAAAAGGTCTTAAAAAGTCTTAAATTTAACTTGTTCATGTCTGCAGAAATGTCTGACAAGGTTGTAGGATGTGACAGCATCTGAAATGCACAATTTAATATTTTTGTTACATAGTGGTGAAGAGGAGAGAAGTATCCTTAAAGGGTTAGTTCAGCCAAAAATGAAAATTCGGTCATTAATTACTCACCCTCATGGCGTTCCAAACCCATTAGACCTCTGTTCATCTTCGGAACACAAATTAAGATATTTTTGATGCATCTCCTCTGACCCTCCATAGACAGCAAGGATCCTTACACGATCAAGGCTCAGAACCGTAGCAAGGACATCGGTAAAATAATCCATGTGACATCAGGGGTTCAACCGTAATTTTACGAAGCTACTACAATACTTGTTGTGCGCAAAAGAAAAATAATAAAGACTTTATTCAACAATTCGTCTCCTTCGCGTCCCCCTGGCGCCATTTTGGAGAATATCCACTGAACACAAACAGCGTATGCTATTCTGTGTCATCTGCTTCACACGGATACTTTGTTTTCGTTCAGATGATTTGAATGATTTGAAACTTGATTTCGAACACGTAAAATAAACATATTAAAAACTAAACAAAAACAATACAACACAATACAAAACAATTTTAACTTATACATGTCCAAAAAGGAGTAGGAAGAAGCATAAAATGATGTGAAAATCATCTCGTTCACTCATTCACAGAAAACAATATATTCATTTACATTTCACTTTTTGTCTAGAAAGCCTGTATGCAAGGAGGCGTGAATCATGCATAATGCTGTGACTCACACCTGAGAAGACAAAGGCCCACATAATGAGCTGCATAATGAGCCTTTCAGTCAGGTGTGTGACTAAGAGGGAATTGCTACAAGAAAGAATGTGAGAAAAAAAAAAATTTATATATTTTTTTGTTTGTAGTTTATTTAGAATATATTTAATTAAAATTAATAAATAAATAAATTAGTGAGCATGTTGACAGGCTTATCAGGAGCAACTATATTATTACATTAGCAATCACTAATATTGCCCACGTGAGGTGTGTGACTAAGAGGGAATTGCTACAAGAAAGAATGTGAGAAAAAAAAAAATTATATATTTTTTTGTTTGTAGTTTATTTAGAATATATTTAATTAAAATTAATAAATAAATAAATTAGTGAGCATGTTGACAGGCTTATCAGGAGCAACTATATTATTACATTAGCAATCACTAATATTGCCCACGTGATTTTATATCATAGATGCCCACATGCTTTTTATGTATTATCATACAATACAAAAACAACATTTTATATCTGAGGAACTAGATTTTTTATTGTTAAGCATATTATAAACATGTTTGAGCAGGTATTTGCAAACAGAGTATTTCAAGACTGGTCTAAACATTCTTAGACATTACTTTTATATCGTCTAAACATTACATTTATATCGTATTGTTTATAGAAAATAAAACCATCCTCAGGCCGTGCAACATTTAGATGCAATGAAAGGTTGCCTATCATTTTTCAAAACGTTGCACTCGGTTTCACGCATTTTAGTCTGGATTTATAGTTCGGGTAAAGTCCAACTAGTAGTTCAAGTTTATGTCACAACAACACATTATCTAATGCCAATAAGAAACATTACTTGCTCGATATAAAATATCTCCTCCACTGGCTCCAGCCGCGCTCGCGTTCTGTTTGTGAGGTAAACAAAGCTTATACCTCTCAGCTCGTCTTCTTCTGATATAGGGGAGAGCAGGGCACAAAGTAACACTTTTTGGTTTGGGCCAAATAGTGAACAAAGTAATAGGGTTAGACAAACCTTATTTTTATACAAACAACATACAAGCCTCTCCTACAAATGAGCCCTGTTTGCATGTTCGTCGGACCTACCGTTTCTGTGCAGTATTGCCAAAAGCGCCAGGAGCAAAATGTTACTACTTACCCCGCGGGCGGGGCTAGTTGTAACAGACAGAGGGTTAGTTGTAACACTAAAGCCGCGTTTCCACCGAAATTACCCGGAACAATTGTACCAGGAACTTTTTTTCCCCCCAAGACCTGTTGCTTTCTGCGTTTCCACCGCGGTCTAAAGTACCGAGAAGATTAGGCAAATAGTCTGGTGACGTAGGTCTGCGCACGTTTCTCAATACAAAGTACGCAAATTTCGGACTAATTCTGTAATTCTGCAAACAGTAGCGTACTTGATAACATCAGTCTGCTCGCCTTGGCTACTGCAATTTTCCTCAATGTATATTTAAAATAAGCCAAAATATGATATAAAATACCACTGCCTCCTTTCGTTTTCATTTAAACATATTAATAGCCGCAGAAATGTAGTTCAGGGAAATGTGTAGGCCTATAGCCTACATTACAGAACGAAATAATATATCAAACAGTATTGCCTCTTTTTATTTTCATTTTAACATATTAATAGATTAATTGAATAAAGACCAAAGATTACCCACAATCAATTCAAATTCGGTTTAGTTTAAATTGTAGTAGATTTCCTCATAGTACTCAACTCTGCATTTTTTATTCTACATAGCACAGTATGTCCATTTATTAATCTATTAAAACGATACTCTTGAGTGTAGACAAATGGATTTATTTGCAACATTAGCAAACTGGTTCAATAAAATTGATATTTCTTATTACAATAGTAGATCAATTAAAAACATGTCACTCTTAACATTTATCAAGACATTTCAACTGTGTGATTTAAGGGAGATTAGACATTAAATTATGTCAAGCTTTCTTTTTAAACTTTAAAAACAGACCTGTATATATGCCTAGGTTTCAACTTAATGAACCGATAGGCTAACATTTCAAAATCATGTAACTTTCTTTTTTCACATTTAAACATTTGCTACTGTTAGCATAAACGTTTTCAAGGTAAATATAAAAAATGTAAGACATCTTTTCACTCCGTTTCTGTAGATATATAAACTTTGTTTTAAATCAGTGTTATTAAACAAATGATAAATCTAACAAATGAACAAATTGTTCATCTCCCAGTAAGTGGAAACATTTTCAACATACCACTGCATGCATGACGTGTAGAAACTGTACTCATTACTACAACATACTCTTCATCACACACACGAAAAACATAATGTTCATATCCTTCGGTGCATAACTCATGTGCACACCCATCACAAAAAACACATTTAACCCATTTCTCTCCAGGTGCAGAGGATGTAAAATCCTCACCACACACAAGACTTACTTTGCTTTTTCACACCAAGGCTTCAAGGCTTTTGTTTTCTTGGGGCCGTTTTTTTGCTCTTTTTTTAATCTCTTAGAGAGGAGCTTCAGTGCTCTAAGGAGGTTGAAGACCTGGCTGAGAAGCACAATGTTGCAGATTCGCATTAACAATGTAGCAGTCCGTCACATTCACAAAGAAACACTGGATAAAGTCAGCAAGGAAAACATTTGCCAGGAGTTTATCCTGGCGAATGAGTACAGGAAGCATGTGTTTGGTTCTTTCATGTGAGAAGAGGAGACAGGACAGTATAGAAGGGTGGATGGTTAGGATATACATGGAGAGATGGGATTGAATGGATAGATGGAGGACAATGAAAAATGTTCTTTATATTAAAAGTTAAATGTTTTTTTTTTATGTTTGTGAGATTGTGTGACATTCTTGCATCCTGTGTACCAAATAAGTAGTGTATCATATTGCGTTATCAATTTTCCCATCCTTTTGGATTACAGAGGTAACGATTACAGATTGTTACTTCCTACCCTGGTATAATACAGTGTTGGATGCATAAAAATGATCTACTTTAGGTATTTGTGCTGCACAGAAATTTGCACCAGGAATGTAAATATTTATATTTGTTCATTAACTAAGGGAGGTTGTTTATGCATGAAAGACAATTAAAGTATTTAACATTAAAGTAAAGTAACATTTTCATATAATTATATATTAATTTGGCTGCTGTCTATCTGCAATTGATATTACAAAATAGTGATTCAACACACCCAGTTCATAAAAGCTTTTTCTATTCTAAACACCTGCGGTTTGGTAAACGTCCTGTGCAACAAGTGATTTCTTTTACATTTTCAGGTACAGCGGTTAGTTTGAAATAAAAGTTTGTTTAACAGTGGAAATTGAGTCTCATGTCACTGGTATGACTTACTGTATTGTTAGGGAATTGTAAAAAACTACAATACAAATGGATTAAACTACTTAATTTAGGGAGTATACCATGATTGACAACATGTGGTTTGATACCTTGCAGCAGACATTTTGTAAAGTGCATTTTTCATGAAAATTGTCACTGGTGTTACTAGCCGGTGTTCCATCCAAAGTTGCGAATTTAACTTGTGCGCAAAATTGGAATATCGCACAAAACATTTGCGAACAAGCACCGTTTCCATCCAACGAGTCAAAGAGAACAAAATCATCACTTCCTGATAAACTGGCACTAATTTATTCGCAAAATGCATTTCCATCTCTCATTATTCGCATTAACCCTTTTTCGCACAAGTCAAAAACCACCTCAAGCGAGCGTAAAAACTTTTTTTTGCGAATTAAGGCATTTTTATTTGAAATTCAACGTTTCCATCACTCGATTCTGATGCGATACTTAAAAATGCGCATAAAAGCAGGGTGATGGAAACCCAGCTACTGTCACTGGTGTTACCTTCCTTATGGATAACACCAGTGAAGATCAGTTTATGTTTATGTTCTTTTACTAACTGCTTTCACTAAATGCCAAATGTATGCCAAATGTAACAATTTAGTCTCATCTAATAATTATAGTTGAAGAATAAGGATCTTTTGTCTAATGTATGTCACTGGTGTTTCATTGTGTCACTGGTGTTGCCGTGTTTTTTTCAGTCACATTAAATAAAATGTCACATGTGACATGAAAATAATTTTACATCCATTGAATTCTGCTACACTCAAGAGTTAAGATTTAAAGGATTGCATCATTACTTGTTTATAACAGTTTTTTCAAATATTTTCATTGTACATAGTTGCGCAAATGAACTAACATCATTCAATCACACTTTTAACAAACCTGATTAAAATAAACAAAACAATCTCCTTATTTGTTGATTTATCATTATTTTTCTGTAACTCTGACTACATGTGCTGAAAACAATCGAGAAATAATATTTCATAAAAACCTCTAAAATTGCCAAAGAAGTAAGGTAAAAAATATTAAAAATCATTAAGCTGTCATTTATGTGTATTCATAAAGTCAAAAGGTAATATAATAATGTGGTCTAAGTTTAAATGTTAAAATCTCCTTATTTGTTGGATTATCATTATTTTTCTGTAACTCTGACTACATGTGCTGAAAACAATCGAGAAATAATATTTCATAAAAACCTCTAAAATTGCCAAAGAAGTAAGGTAAAAAATATTAAAAATCATTAAGCTGTCATTTATGTGTATTCATAAAGTCAAAAGGTAATCTAATAATGTGGTCTGTTTAAATGTTTTTCTTGCCATACCAAAAAATATATATATACTGTGTGTATATATATATATATATATATATATAACGTTGGACTTAGTTTCGTCCAGCATTCCGATGAATATTTACACCTGTTGCACCATCTAAAACTACGACTAGGCGCAGCTAAGCTTTAGCGTAGACTGTGCGCGTCCGCGCGGACACGACGCCATTCGCGTTACTATGGTTACAACTTGAAATTACTGGCTCCAATGAATACATGAAAAATGGCTGCTGAACCGAAAAAAAAAATTAAATTACTCAGATTGTGAAACAAGAAAAATTATTGAATCTTCAGTAGATATATGCATATTTTAGTATGCAAACAAAACAATTCAGTAACAAATAAGAAAAAACAAGACATCTGGCAAAAGATAACAGTGGCAGTAAATGAAGCTGAGGGTGGATAAGGAAACCGGACAGTCGAGGAAGTAAAAAAAAAAAAATGGAAAGATCTTCTTCAGGCAGCCAGGAGAGACTCTAGTCAGCTCAAAAAACCCCCAATGGGTGGGGGACCCCCTCCTAAAATCTCACGCTACAGCACTATTATAATGGATGTGTTTGGAGACGATTCGCCAGCTTTTACTGGCCTAAAAGGCTGTGACACTAGTGCCAGCAACATAGATGTAAAGGAAGAAAAGCAAGTTGAAGCTGAAGAGGACACAAGTTTTTCTTCCATTTCAAATGATTCATCAGACACCAGTTATGAAAGTAACATTAAAATAGTGGGCTAATAAATTGTTATAGGCTATAGACCTGTTTACACTGTGTACGGAGTAACCTACACAAATTTCTGAAGCAACTCATATTTTAATAATGCATTCAACTTTTGCAGATAATCCCAATCTGCCTTTAGCACTGCGGACAGTGTTAAGTTCAGTTCAGTCCTGTATACGGAGCTGCTGTGGTTGAACGTGTTTGAGCAGTAAAGAGTGTTATTGCTAAGAACAGTTGTGGTTATTGAGTCAACATTGGTAGCAGAGGATGGCTGCTGCTGGAAATTACAAAAATCCCCCACCGTTTGACGAGAAGACGGCGTACGAAAGTTGGAAAAATGAAGTTGAAATTTGGACCTGGACAGCAAGAAACAAGCCTCGGCAGTTACCTTGTCACTAACGGGCAGAGCAAGGGACAGTGCACTGGAAATTTCTGCTGAGGATTTAAATACTGACACTGGAATGCAAACACTTATAGCGAAATTGAACTCTGTGTTTTTAAAAGAAGAAAAAGATCGACGGTACGAGGTGTACACAGAGTTTGACCGGATCACAAGAGAAAGCGCCGTTTCTATGGTGGAATACATCGTCGAGTTCGAACGTCGATACAACAGGCTACGTAAGTTCAAAATGGAGCTCCCAGATGTCGTACTAGCCTTCTACTGGATACTGCTGGACTTACCGTTAAAGATAAACAGTTAGCGCTTACAGCTTGCCCCAGCGTCTCTTTCACTGATATGAAATCAGCCTTGAAAATAATTTTTGGAGATAACGTTACTTCACCACGAGAGGGCGGCAGTGCACTGCAAGAGCGCAGATAGTGACACTGCCTACTACACGAGATACTCAGGCAAACGGGGAAATAAGTCAAACACCACACAACAACCCCAAACCGTGGCTCAAGGCACAAACCCCCTTGATAAATATGGGAGAAGAACGAAATGTGCAATTTGCCAAAGCACTTATCACTGGGCAAAGGACTGTCCAAACAAGAAGGAACATGTAAGACTGACAAAAGATGAAGGACTAAAAGATGACATTGAAGAATGTAACATCACTTTGTTTTCAAATGAATCTTTATCTAACACAGAAATCTTCATGGTGGAGGCTTTAGGATCAGCTGTGATTGACACAGCCTGTACAAGAACTGTGTGTGGAGAAAAATGGCTTGAGGATTATACAAGTGGGCTGCCACAGAGTGAGTTACTGAAAATAGATGACAAACAAAGTGCAAGACCTTTCAGATTTGGTGATGGCAAAGTTGTTCACTCCACAAGGAAAGTTACCATTCCAGCTAAGATAGGACATACCAGATGCAAAATAGAGACAGAAGTTGTTCCTGCAGATATACCAATGCTCTTAAGCAAGGCTTCATTTTGACGATTGTTTCTGTCCAGTCTGCTCGTTTTATCGCGTTTAACCACAGCTGTCGTCGGTTTTTTGTCTGGCAGTGGCAGCAGATATGCGATCAAATTTCTAATTTGAGGCTGTATTACGTAGCTTCTGGCACCCAACATCACAACAAGATGATATTTTAAGCTCCTTATGTAGCCGAACCTGCGCTGGTTTGAATGGGCCGCCTCCAGTTTCCCCTTTGTTTTGCTGCCTCCAGCTAGCGCTGTGACGTCAGCCAGGGAGGAAAAATAGACACTCCATTAAAGTAAACATGAGCCACACACCTGCGCTTGAGCACTCCTATGCAGCGCTCAATGATCGACCTCGTCTGTGAGAGCACATAGTTGTACTGCCTTTCCTGCTCCGTTCAGGGTACCAGACAGGTGTCATCAGCCACTTCTTTAAAGGGTAGCCACTGTCGCAAAGCATTATACCAGAATGCTGCCCCTCCTCACACGATTGGGCCAGTGCGCTCTCCCTCAAGATGCGTGCATCATGTGCAGACCCATACCACCGTGCCACCACATCTATTAATTTCATGTTTGCATCACACACAACCTGTATGTTGATTGAGTGAAAGCCTTTCCTATTTACAAAAAGGTACTCATTTTTAGATGGTGCCTGAATGCGCACGTGAGTACCATCAATACAGCCAAAAATACCAGGTATGCCGGAATCTCTTCTAAATTTGTCCTTGGTGGGTGTGGCCTCCTCCTGGGTGGGTAGACAAACATGTATTTGAGCCCGACTTTGAAGGGCCAGAGACACTCGTCGTATTGCCCGGCTGGCTGTACTTCTTCTTACATTTACCATATCAGCGAATGTATTTTGGAAAGATCCACTGGCATAAAATCGAAGAGATATTAGCACCTGCAGTGTTGGGGACAACGCTCCGTTCCTGTCTGTTGCGTGCTGTAACTGCGGTGATAACTCGTTGATTAATTCTAAGGGTGTTTTCACACTTGGTCCTTTTAAGGGGTCTGAGCACGGTTCGTTGGATTTTTGGCCCAGATGTGAACTCTCCAAACAAGCTCAGACCCTTTTAAAGCGAACTGAGCCGAGACCATCTCGGGAGGTGGTCTGAGTACGGTTCGCTTTGAGATATTGGCACGGTTCGCTAAAAACGTGCATTGTGAACACAAATCGCTCCCGGTTAACTTGTTCTTTTTCTATTCGTGAATTTTCTTTAGTTTGGTCTTTACATGTCTCCGTACAAATCGCGCTTTTCAAAAAATGGCTGCTGCTGGAAGAGGGATATTATGGACAGACGAGGAAACGGATGCACTTCTACAAATTTGGAAGGAGGACTATATAAAAAAACAACTGTCAACAACCCACAGAAATTCAAAAGTGTTTCTCCAATTTTCAGCAAAACTGAAAGAGAGAGGATTTAACCAGACCGCTCTGCAATGCCGGGTTAAAGTGAAGAAATTGCGCCAGAAATATATGGCCACACGAGACAAACTTAGAACTAGAGGAGAGTCAGCCGATGTAAAGTGGCCACTTTACGATGTACTGGACGAAATTCTTGGTACAAGCCCCTGCGCAAACCCAATGGATGTCGTAGAGGAAGTGTTGACATCAGCGAGGATGATAATGGTACGCTCATTGTCAACTTGCTTTACTACTTTAAAACACAGCTTTAAAAAATATTATTTGAACCCTGCTGAAACGAAACCTTTCAATAAGTTCTCTGTCTCCATATATATCTAGAGGATTGGTGCGGTCTCTCATTACTCTTTCACGCCTGAAAGCCCGTCGATCGTGTAGCCTGTATATCGGACACGCCATTGTCTTTTAATTGTTTTTATTTATTATATTTATTATCACTATGGAAACAAGTCAAGGCTTTTCACGTTACACCTACCTTTGATTAGGCAGAAAATTTAGTGACAGACGTGCGCTATGCCCAAATGGTGCAACAGGTTTTAATTCTACACAGGACTTAAAACGCATTTTACGTCAAGCCTAGTCTTACGACCGGGTGTACGTCTAGCTGGTGCAAAGTTAACAAACTTAAATGGCTTAAGTAAATAATACTTAAAATAAGTAAGGAATACTTTTAATATATTAGTAAATAAGACTTAAATTACACTTAATTTAATTAAGTTAAGATTACTTAATTGAATTAAGGCAACAAGTTTGCACAATTTAAGTAAACTTAACAAATTACTTTTTACAGTGTTCTGCGTAATGACTTTATGTAATTTCAGTGCTTATCTCCATTAATGAGAGTGGAATATTTAATGTCATTGTGTATATCGTAATGAAAACAGAGTTTAAAATCATTGTTTACTTCATACTTTTCTCACTCCAGGAAAAAGAGTTTGTACGCATGGTCTAGAGCAGTGGTCACCAACCTTTTTAGGCCCAAGATCCCTGACCTCGGCCTTTATGAAAGACAAGATCTACCTATTGAAGAATTGAAATACTTCGCGATCAGCATGAGTTTATAATTAATTTCATAGTTCCCCCAAAACAATTTGAATTCTGTCATCACTCACCCTTAAGATGCTCCAAACCATCTAAGACTTTCGTTCATCTTCAAAAGAAAAGCTGAGATATTTTAATAAAAATCTGAGAGATTTATGTCCCTGCGATGAAAGAAGATTCACCAAAGATGTTCACGTTTCAAAAAGTTGAATCTACTGGGACAGTGATAAGATCTACCAGTCGATCGCGATCGACGGGTTGGCGACCACTGGTCTAGAGTGTCCGTATGAAGCGGAGGCCTACATATTTACGCCAAGGTTATTTTTTATAAATCCCAATATGTGCATGGAAAATTGTGTATGCATATTTCTATGTCCATTTTGTGCATACGCAACTTCTGTCAGGACCACTATCGTCAATGTGACCTGCCAGAACTAACTCTACGCTTGATGTTTATAAATGAAACCCCAGATCATTTTGTAGAGGTAACATCCTTATGTCATGGCCATGCGATGTGAAGTTGTGGCCTTGAGATCCTATGTTAATACTTTTTTGTCAGTCTTAATTCAAAATAAAATGTTAATAATCACAGGTTGCTATGGTCATGCAGATTTGTTTATGCATAAACTCGTGACCATGATAAAAGAATGTTGTTTGCTCAAAGTTGTGGCACCGAAAAAAAGATGTTGTTCCCTCAACACTGGATCTTGAGGCCACGACTTATTACCATGTTCTTACGATATGTTTTCACCACAACAAAACGGAACATGAACAGAAGTGAAGTGAACGAAACATGTCCTTTCCCAGTCACCATAGCATTCAAGAGAATGAGGAACATGTATGTGGTGGCTTCAAGCTGCAAGCCATTTACATCATACATATTGGAAACTTCTAGCAAGACCACAAACTTTGCACCTTCAGTATCTTTGCTTCCAAATCTAAAGCCCTAACAGAGGACAGTTGTGGTCATCAGCTCAGATGTGGTTTTAGAAGCATTGTTTTACTACACCCAACTTGAACATTGTGAAACTGCTCTGCTTTTGCAACACAAACCATTTTTGATTGCAAGGAATTGTAAAGCAAGTAAAAATGTATTGAGTAAAAACAAATAAGTAAAAAATAAAATTGAATTGTGAATTTTACTGCATTTTGTGTAAGAATTAACTAGAATTTTTACTTTTTACTACATTATGAGAACTGATCTCTAAATATCTGATATTCAATACAAGTTTATTTGATAGCACTTATTATTGTTGATTACCTCAAAAATTAATGTCCACTTGTCCCTCCATTTCTTAATAAAATAAAATGAAATAAAAATCTTGGATACAGTGAAATGTAAACAGTGCACAATTACAATGAAAGTGAATGGGGCCAATCCATAAATGTTCAAATACTCACTGTTTTAGTAGTATAACCACAAGATGTGAACAACGTGTGTTAACACTTTTGCATACAAAAAAGAACTAACTAAACGTATCTAATTTTATAACTTTGTTTCCATGACAATGCCATAAACCCTAAAACGACTGTAAAAATGGTGATTTAAACCACTTTATGACTCAACTTACAAGTTTTAACAGAATAATTAATGTAGGTGCTTTTACAAAGTGATGAGCTTCAGATTTCTGAAATATCTGAAGATTCCTCCAAAAACGGGCCCATTCACTTTCATTGTAAGTGCCTCACTGTAACATTGATTTACTTTTTTTTTTCTTTTCCCAACGGAAAACAAGGAACAATTTTGTGGCAATTGACATTATGCAACAAATGCTGTTGATTTATCTGAATTCAGAGTTTATAAGAGGTTAAACAATCAGTCATTTAGAGCCATTTCTACATTTTATGCAGACTTGTGGTCAGATAAATGTCTCCACCCCCCTTTAAAGTATATTTATACAGTGTTTTGTCAGTAAGAGCTCACTGATTGTCTTCATGATGACCATCATCTCTCTGCTCCTGCTGGCCTCTCTGCTGCCACACCTGACCTTCACTGGTAAGACAGATTGACTAAATTGCATTTTGGTCAATTATTGGTGAATAAGAAAGCTAACAGCGCAATCTCTTTCAGCTCATGTGGGTGTAGTGAACGGCAGTGAAGCAAAACCCCACTCCAGACCTTATATGGTTTCTGTCCAGGCTTTTGGGCAACACTACTGCGGTGGATTCCTTATCTCTGATGAGTTTGTCTTGACTGCTGCACATTGTTGGAAAGGGTAAGAGTTTTGTTTAGTCTAAACTGCAATGTTGAGTTAAAACCACGTTTGACTGAAAAAACGACTGCAGTGCAACCATACAGTGTATAATTTTCATAAATGAGCATCATGACTCAATAAAGCAATATTTCCAATGCACTCTTTCAACAGATTTGGGACTCGGATGGTTGTGGTTGGTGCTCATGACTTAAGCGACAGTAATACTTTGAAGCGAATCGGAGTGAAGGACTACTTCCCACATCCAAACTACAAAATTAGTCCTATTCAGAACGACATCATGCTTTTGAGGGTAACAACCTGTTTATCTGTTAAAAACAATATCTGCCCTGTTGAAAAAACCAGCATATGCTGGTTAGGTATGTTTTGACGCTGGGATGCTGGTTTATGCTGGTCAGAAACACTAGCATAAACCTAACTCACACAATGAGAATTTATCATTATTATTTTATTTCTTGTATTATTTCTTTAAGACATAATCAAAAAGATTTAATTAAGATCGACTTCTTGAGTCTATTTCCTACAAAATATTAGTTTATAGAAACAAAAAAATGGGCCAAAAAAAAATATTAGAACATTTTTGTTATACTCAGGAGAACAAATCAATAATGTAGAAAAAAGACTCTTTTTAAAGAGGTACTTAAAAAATTGCAGTATAATCAACTGTGGTTCAGTTTGATAAAAGACTAATACATTTCTCTATTAATAATGGTTGTTTTTGAATTACAGCTACAGGAAAAGGTCAAAATAAACAACGATGTTAAATGGATAGCATTACCAAAGGATGGAGAAAATGTTCAGGAAAACACTCTCTGTAGTGTTGCAGGCTGGGGGGACCTGTGGACTGATGGCGAACCGAGTAGTCGTCTAATGGAGGCAAACGTGTATTTAATGAATAACAGAGAATGTTACAATAGGTGGGGAGAGATTTACTACTCGCTCTCACAGATGATGTGTACATATGGCCATGGTGGATTCTGCAGTGTACGTACAAAAGATGATCCATAGACTTTGTTAAAGGGGTCATATGATGCGATTCCAAGTTTTCCTTTCTCTTTGGAGTGTTACAAGCTGATTGTGCATAGATAAGATCCCTGAAGTTGCAAAGACTAAAGTCTCAAAACCAAAGAGATATTCTTTATCAAAGTTACTCTTTAAAATAGCATCATATGACCCCTTTAATTCATGAACTGGTTTTAACTGATATATGACACTTAAGTAATGTGTTGATCTGTGTTTCTTAACAGGGAGATTCTGGGGGTCCTTTGGTTTGTGGAGACACTGCAGTTGGTGTCGTATCATATCGTTACATTGCTCTCTGCAATTCACCTGAGAAACCTAATGTGTATACTAAGATTTCAGCATATCTTCCATGGATCCACCAAATCATTAGAAACGTTAAGTGACTTCATGAAAAATTAAAAAGGAAGACATATTTTTCTTGAATTCTTCCTTAAACCTTCTTTCAATAAAAGTATCACATGGCAAGCATCAATCAGTTGAAGTGTCGTCATTGTCGCGACCATACAATGGAGGGCACATGTTTAAAGTCATTTCACATTAGTTCATTTGGTTGCCATCTTGGTGATGTTCTTTATTAGACACGCATGTACAGCTTATATCTACTTGAATGAGGGGAGGAAAATCCTAATAAACTGGTGGTCAAGATTTTTTTTCAGACTGGTGAAAAAAAAAAAAAAAAGGTCTAACAATCAACTTCTGCAATTTCCTTAACTCACCACTAGAGATTAGTTGTCAGTTTCCTCTCTGTGTTTTGTTTTAATGGCCTACTGCTACAGCATCACAAAGTAAGGCTTGGGTCGATTGTAAGAACTGCATGGAGCTACATGCTCTACATGCAAGAGAAAAGAGGAACATGTGCTTGGTGGCTTCAAGCTGCAAGCCTTTTACATCATATGTTAAAGGGGTCATATTAGATTAGATTAGATTAGATTCAACTTTATTGTCACTGTGCAGAGTACAAGTACAGAGCCAATGAAATGCAGTTAGCATCTAACCAGAAGTGCAAATAACAGAGTATATAAATAAATATAGATTATGTGTATATACATTAAGCTTTATGACATATAGTGCAAGTTATGAGGTAGGAGGGCAGAGACCAGCTCAATGCAAATGACACTTGCAAGTATAATTGCAGTATAAAACTAGTAAACTAGTAGATTATTGAGAGTATACGTCAAAGTGTACTTTCACAAACTACTAATTTACTACAAGTTTTACACTAGTAAACTATTAGTATACACATAAGTTCACTTGCAGTACAAATGAAAACGTAATTGTGGACTAGTTGGGCACTTTACTACTGTTACACTTATAGTACACTTAAAAGTATACTTTTATATACTAAAAAGTGGGCCAATTTAGTCCCAAGTGGTATTCAAGTAGTACACTTACAAGTATACTAATAGTACACAGATGTTAGTATACTTAAAAATATACTTCCTTAAGTATACTTCATAAAATGAACTTGAAGTAAACTTCTTTTTCGTAAGGGAAGGGAAGATGAAGAGTAACAACTGAATATGCTGTCATGTTTTTTACCAATTAAAGAAACTGAAAAGGTAATAACCAATGATCCATATTCCATTATACTGCAAAAACTACTTTAAACCAAATTACTAGTATAACAAAACATTACCACTGAAATCTATAAGCTCAAATACTGACCATATTATCCTTTCCATCCAGTCCTTACAGAAGATTTGTTAATTTCCAGCATGTATTCTTCAGTCATGGACCTTTAATGAAATCCACTTTAACGAAATAAAGCTGAAATTTGATTTATTGTCTTTATGTTCTGGGGAGAAACTCAGATGTAGTAAGATGAATACAATTTGTCATAAGGATTCAGTTTCAGTTAATAAACAGTTAAATCTCTCTGCAACCACAAATTTAATTTGGATTCACAAACTCTATGAGTTTGAAATATTCAGAAGTTCTTTGTAGTCCTGTAATTTGAAGACCAAGATACTGGAGTTTATCTTAATTACTCATTCACAGTTGTTTACATTTAGATATAAACTAGATATCTAAGCTCAGCGGTATTGATAGCTTGTGCAGTTCATCTCTCCAATTAATTCTATACGTTATTATTTATATTTGTTTTTTTAATGTAAAATTCTATTATTTTGGCTCGCTGCTCAAAATATAAACACAAACGTGTAACTTCAAACTTTTCCAAACAAACTTCAGATGTTTTCATGAAAGTGTAATCTACTTTCTATTTTCATAAAAGTGTAATGTATCTTATTACAATAAGGACACTTATTATATATTTAGTTTTATTTAGATAATTTTGGATCGATTTTTCTTCCTGTTTATTATTCCCATTTCAAACAGGACGAAGTGTTCAAATACACAGAAAAACTGGTGAATCAACTGAGATCCAAGTGACACACTATTGTAAAGATGGCGTTTATTAAAGAGGAGAGTGAAGACATGAAGATTGAAGAAACATTCAAACATGAAGATATTGAGGAACAAACAGGTTGGTTTTTATTCTCAAAGCTGAACTCACTCATTTGATACTTATTAAAATGTCCATCTCTACAGAAATGAATGATATAGAAGAATGTATTTTATTTGGAAAATGGTTTTATTTGACACATCACACATTCAGTAACTGTATACAACAGTAAATGCTGAATCAAGCAATAACCAAGTTATATGTAGTAAACATCAGTCAAGTAACACAATAATAAAATGTTTGGACCATTGACAGCTTGTTAGTTATTACATGCTGTCTATATTTGTTCTTCATTTAAAAGGCTGTGGCAAGAAAAAAAACAGCCAGTAACTTTATAAGAAACTGCTAAATAATAGATGCTTTAAATCAAACCGTCTGAATGTTTCTAAATGACAAGCTAAGATGAAGAAGCTATCCTAAGATGACATTTCTACACAATCATTATTTATTTTTTAATGTATTTATTTATTTATTTATTTGAGTTTTCCCCAACAGTCCAAGCATACCTATAGGCCTAAAGAACAGTGCATAAAACAAACGTGTAATGAAGAAATTAAAATAATTGTAAATAATAATTCTGCTCCACAGCAGATTCCAAGTGACATGAGGCTGCATGGGTGTTTCATTTAAACAGCATAAGCACCGTAAGCAATGAAGTACATCTTTTTTTTATTTTTTTGACATTTAATCATGCCAAAATCTAGTTGTCCACATAGATGCAGTGTCTTTTGTTTTATTTAAATTTTGCACAGACCAACTTGTTAGCAGTTGCAGGTGAAGTCTGTATTTGTATGACGGGAAGGAGGATCAGTTCAAAAAGAAAATAACGTTTAAAAAGAAAAACGTTGTATATCCCATTCAGGTCATTTTAATTGAGATATTTAGAGCCGGAAACATTTTTGAACTATAAGTAAAAAAAATTGTTTGTAGTTATATTCATTGTTGATTATTATTTTTTATTTCATTGATTAGTTGATGCAGCCCTAATATCAATGATACACTTCATTAACTACTTAAGTTGTGCAGTGTTTTCAGGTTACAATTTAAACCTAAGTATCATCGGCATAACAGTGAAAATGAATGATGTCCCTCAGGGGGAACATACAGTATTATAAGGAGAAAAGGAGAGGGCCTAATACCGAGCCCTTTGGCACTCCATACTTTGTGTAAATAAAGAGATGTCTCATCAAACATGAGTAACAGTGGTCAGATAGATAGAACCTAAACCGTGCTAATGCTTGCGCACAAATGTCTCCATAATAATCAGAGAATGATGTGGTCTATGTTGATGTAATGGCACTAGAAGAGACATGTAGCTGCGATTGTTAACTTCAATAAGCGCAGTTTCTGTGCTATGGTGAGGCTTAAAGGAATAGTTCACCCCAAAATGAAAATGTACTCACCCTCAGGCCATCCAAGTTGTAGGTGACTTTTTTTTAGTAAAGATTTTTTGCTGAAACCGTGGACTTTGGTGATTCATAAAATGCAAGTCAGTGGCTACCATCTCTTGAAATCATGTACAGGCAAAACAAATAAATACCTGTGGCTCGTGACAATATATTGAGGTTGTTAGATCGCTGGCTCCATGCCTAGACAATTAAGATCCAGCCCCGGATGCTAGATCCATTCTGAAAATATCAGTTTGTCCGGTAACAGAACGTCTCGTCAGCAGAGTAGTCTAATACCCGAACCCTGTTAACAGGAGGTCTTGTCTGGTACCCAAAATACCCAAAAACATTATTGTCTTCTGTCAGCAAAGAAGTTGACTGAGGAAAAAGCCAGTGAAAGTGAAGAGCAGAAGCAGGAGACGAAGTGATGATGGTAAAAAGGAGCAGAGTTTATTCAATAGTCTTAGTTGCGAATGTCTCAATGCTCAGACATCATCTAAAGAACACAAATCCAACAAGTAGTGTTATACCAAACTGATTCACAACAACATCCCATAATCCTTGAGTTTCCATAAACATTCCCTCGTATCTCTTATTCATGAAGACAAACAGGCCTTGAAACCACACAGTCAAAAGACTAATCAACAATGGAAAAAATATATAAAAACAACAATAAGATAATATAAATGACTAATCTATTAATGAATCAATGAAATGTATATATTTGTTGATATAGAGTACGTACTCTGTCGCATACCTTGTCAGTGTCGTGCGCTTGCTTAGCGTTTTGTTGTGATTAACAGTAAAGTGTGTTCAGCTGAATTCAATTTCCGTTTTGTCAAACGGGTATAAAAAAGGTTAGTATACCGCGGCAGCCCTCGTGTGAAGACCGAAGAGTGTAAAGACCCTCGACTCCACCGTGCGACTCCAGGGACACTGGCAAGGGATATAAGAATCGTTTTTGATACATTCTCTTTTCTATACCTTGCTTCACTTCTGTTTCAGTTTTTATGACCAACTCTTACTATGTGTTTCCAGATCCCTACTATCACTACCACTCACAAACCATGCATCACCCACTGTAGGCAGCACAATCCTAACAACCTGCACACTTTGCCTGTGTCTGCTTAAACACTACTTTCTTTTTTTTATTGGTTTGTGGAATTGTCAGTCTGCAGTAAACAAAGCAGATTTTATTACATCTATTTCTAGTCATTCAAGACTAAACCTCATGGCCCTGACAGAGACGTGGATCAAACCAGAGGACAATGCTACACCTGCAGCACTCTCCAATAATTTCAAATTTTCTGACTGGAAGAGGTGGAGGTACTGGTCTGCTTATCTCTAATGATTGGAAATGTATTCCTTTACCTTCTCTGGATAATAACAGCTCCTTTGAATCACATTCAGTCACTATTACCCACCCTTTTAAAATCCATTTTGTAGTTGTTTATCGACCCCCAGGACCACAAGGTAACTTCTTGGATGAAAGATGTGCTGCTCTCAACCTTTCCTGAGGATGGTACTCCCAGTTATGCTTGGAGACTTCAACATCTACCTAGATAAACCTCAGGCTGCAGACTTCCACACTCTGCTTGCTTCTTTTGATCTCAAGCGAGTATTAACTACGGCTACTCACAAATCAGGCAACCAACTGGACCTTATTTACACACGACACTGCTCCA